CATGTCCGTGAATGCCACAAGCAATCTTGTGTCGTACCCATTACACGACTCAATATCATTGTCGGACTCCTCACTGTCACTTTGGATCTTAAGGAATAGCTCGACTGACAAACATGACGTGCTGGCGAGATTCGTCAGCATACTCCTGAGCAGTTTGGGCTCCATTTCCCAGAGACCGAAATGGAACACAGATCACGCTGCACAGAAACCGTTGAAAGATGGCGCCAAATGTGGACGGAAACACAGGGATTGCTGGGATGCGAAGCGATGCATCACGGGGCGTTGGGACAGGACCCAGAATGCCCCGCATCCAACACTCCCTTCCCACAACCCACAACACCAGAATGGGAAGAGGTGCTCTGTGGGATATCTGCCCATAATGCACCTCTCCCAATGCCACTGCAAGTGCCACAAATGTGGCCACGAGAGTGCGCTGGCAGGTGGCAATGTGGACAGACTCCAGCGCTTTCCCTACTCAGCTGTACAAAGGCGGGTTTAACTCACAGCGCTGTACATCTCCAAGTGTAGCCAAGGCCCTAGCTAATGTTGTGATGTGGATTGTCTGACACAAAGGATTAACAGTTCTGTGATTAGCCCTTTACATGTTACCATTAAGCCAGTTTCAGCAAAACTCTGGATGTAAACTGGCCATCAGGAAGTTTAGACTTGGAAATTAGACAAAGGTTTCTAACCATCAGAGGAGTGAAGTTCTGGAATAGCCTTCCAAGGGAAGCAGTGGGGGCAAAAGATCTATTTGGCTTCAAGATTAAACTCGATAAGTTTATGGAGGAGACGGTATGATGGGATAATATGATTTTGGCAATTAACTGATCTTTAACTATTCATGGTAAATAGGCCCAATGAGGGATGTTAGATGGGGTGGGAAATGAGTTACTACAGAGAATTCTTTCCTGGGTATCTGGCTGGTGAATCTTGCTCACATGCTCAGGGTTCAGCTGATCACCATATTTGGGGTCAGGAAGGAATTTTCCTCCAGGGCAGACTGGAAGAGGTCCTGGGGGTTTTTCGCCTTCCTCTATAGCATGGGGCACAGGTCACTTGCTGGAGGATTCTCAGCACCTTGAAGTCTTTAAACCATGATTTGAGGACTTCAATAGCTCAGACATAGGTGAGAGGTTTATCGCAAAAGCGGGTGGGTGAGATTCTGTGGCCTGCATTGTGCAGGAGGTCAGACTAGATGATCATAATGGTCCCTTCTGACCTTAATATCTAGGAGTCTATGAGCACCATACTGAAGAGGAAAACTTCTAGCAAGGCTTACGTGCTATTACGCAACGTGCCATTGAACAGTTATTGTGGGGATGCAAACCATGTTGACTATATTTAAACCATAATTGCTTCTTTAACAGGCTTTGAGAATGTATAGACAATACTTCATATGTGTGGTATGCACTGCTGTATATTATGTAATATCCCCTGAGATGCCCAACAATACTTATCTAAGATCACAAATTGTATTGTTCTTCTTTATTTTGTTTGGTGCAGAAAAAGTATACATACTTTCAATGTATACAGAGTTTGAGCAAGTTGCACCTTACTTAAAGGGGTTTACAGATCCCACACAAAACTTGAGTAGTTAAGTTGTTATACAGATTTGTATTGCTACTGATAACAGCAAAGAAGACAGAATTATGTAAAACAAAGGGCTAGAATTATTTAATTCCAAGGAAGTCAGAGGAAGACACTCAAGAAACATTGGCCAAACATATAACATTATTGAGATTGTATAATTCACCAGGAGTAAGTCATTCATAAGTATTATGCTACAATTGTGTTCTAGTTTGCTGAGTTAAGACATTTTTGCCAAATGTGTAATACTTAGACCCAATGACCAAGCTCCATTACATATAAGCAGCTTACAAAATATTTTACTAAGTGCTATTAAAATGTCACTCTTCTGTATTTCCTATCCCATCACTCCCATCTCTTTTTCTAGCCCAATTAATTCCGCAATACTGCAATCCAGTGGTTGACACAAAACAATCCACTATCACACAAGCAATCCTGTTACAGATATTAAATTGAGGTACCACTAAATGAATAAGGTAGTTGGAAGACACATTATCTAAAGGAAAGGGCTTTGATTTCCATACAAATACCTTGCTAATCAACACAGATGAGGAAGGGGAGACACAGAAAGTTGGTAAATATGGATATTTAATTGAAACCTGATTTAATTCAGGTTTTCAAGGCAAGCAGAAACTCTCCAAAAATAGCTCAACCAACCTCCACACTAAACAGACACCTACATAAGTGTCACTCAGGCAGGGACTCAAGAAGCAAACCAATAAAATCCTTGTGGAGGGTGCAGGGGGAAGCAACCTCACTAAAATATAATACAAAATGTATAATTAAAATCTCCCGTTTTCCAAGGCTTGCTAATTACACGGTGCCTTTGCCTGTAGGGCCGCTGCCCTCTCGGGGATGCTGGAGGAGAGCACAGCCTGCAGCTATGGCTCGCCCCAGGCAGGGCATGCCCACCCGGAGGGACAGCCTGTGTGCATGTGGCCGAGGACAGGGGGAGGCTGGGACCCGGGGAGAGGGAGGAGGCGGAGCGCAGACAGGTGTGGGCCCCCGGGGAAAACTCGCGGGGGCTCTAGCCGCGGGCATCGGCGAGGATGCTCAGGGGAGGGGGGCGCACAGGCGGCAGGTTTACCATCCCACACCGCCGCTAGGGCCGCCCCCTTTCCGGGCAGGGCAGCCCCGCCGCCTCCGGGAGCCTGACGCCAGGGTGCCCCGGGCAGCGGCTACGCTCCCATCGCCCTTACCCCGGGGCTGAGCTTTGCTGTGGGCACAGCAGGAGCCTCCAGTAGCGCCGGGCGGACGGTGCCCAGCAGCCTCCTCCCCCGGCCCGGGCCCCGCGGGCGGAAACTCACGGAGATGGCTGCGCCGCAGCAGCTCGGCTCTGGGCCCCCGCGCCTTTCGCCCAGGCGCCAGCAACAAGCCCAGCCCCTGCGTCGCCGCGGAGGGGGTGGAGCTCCCGCTCTCTGGGCGCCAGGGGGCGGCCTGGAGCCCCCGTATCGCTACCTCGGGGGTGGGGGGAGCGAGGACCGCTAGGGCAGAGCAGCCCCGCCCTTGGCAACGCGCCGCCAAGCCGGCTCGCAGGCGCCCTGCCGGGGGAGGGGAGCGGAGGGCCTGGCCGATGGGGGCGCTCGCGGGGACTGGCGCTATGTAAACACTCCGCGGCCGTAGTGCGGGACCAGACTGGGCAATGCGGCCTGTGCGCCAACTCTCCCAGAGCACAAAATGGAACACCCTAGCCCCGCCCCTTCCCCGAGGCCACGCCCTCTGCCCCGCCCCCACTCCCTACATTCCTCCCCCCTCTGTAGCTCGCTCTCCCCACCCCCCCTCACTTTCACTGGGCTGGGGCAGGGGGTTGGGATGTGGAAGGGGGGGCTCTGGAGTGGGGCTGGGTATGAGGAGTTTGGGGTGTAGGAGGGGGCTCCAGGATGGGGTTGAGGGATTTGGACTGCAGGAGGGGGGCTGCGGTTTGAGGCAGGGGGTTGGGGTCTAGGAGGGGGTGAGGGCTCTGGGCTGGGATGCAGGCTTTGGGGTGGGGCTGGGGATGAGGGGTTTTGGGTACAGGAGGGAGCTCCAGGTTGGGGGGGCTCAGGGCTGGGGCAGGGAGTTGGGGCTCGGGGCACAGGCTTACCTTGGGTGGCTCCCGGTCAGTGACGCAACTGCCTGTCCTGGCTTCATGCTGTGCCTTGTAATTGGCCAGCAGGTCCAGTGCCTAGGCAGGGGGGCCAGAAGTTTCCATATGCTGCTATTGCCCGCAGGCACAGCCCCCCCCCCAGCTCCCATTGGCCAGGAACAGCTCCGGTGCTTGGGGCAGGGGCAGCGTGTGGAGCCCCTTGGTCCCCCCACCTAGAAGCCAGACCTGCTGGCTGCTTCCGGGGTGCAGTGCGGTACCAGGGCAGGTAGGGACTAGCCTGCCTTAGCCCCGCAGCATTGCCGACCGGCCTTTTAACAGCCTGGTCTGCGGTGCTGACTGGAGTTGCATTGATCCCTTTTTGACCAAGTGTTTCCTGTCTTCGTTGAGTCTCTTTCTATTAGTGCATTGTACCATAAACTCACAGCTGATTTCACCCTTCTTCACAGTATTTTAGAATCATAGAAAGGTAGGACTGCACTAAAGGCAGGACTAAGTATTATCTAGACCATCCCTGACACGTGTTTATCCACAGGCTCCAGCTTCCTCCAGGCCCCAGGGGTACTTAATCCCCGACTCTTCACCAGACCCCCCCTCCTTTCCCCCAAGACCCCACCCCTGCCAGACCTCTTCCTGCTCCACTCTGCCCAGGTCCTGCCCCCACCCCTTCTCACAAGTCCCTGCCCTCACTGCACCCCACCTTGCCTCTTCCTGCCTAGTTCTGCCCTCCGCCCCCCCCCCCTTCCTGTCCCCTCCTCCCCCTCAAGCTGATCCCGGTGAGCAGGAGGTGCTGGGAAGGAAGGGGAAGAGTTGATCAGCAGGGCAGCCAGCTGACAGGAGGTGCTGGGGTGGGGGAAGAGAGTGAGCTGGCTGCCAGTGTGTGCTTAGCAGTCACTAATTTTTTTCCGTGGGTGCTCCCACAGAGTCAGCTCCTATGTGTTTATCTAACCTGCTCTTAAAAATGTACAACAGAGATTCCACAACTTCCCTAGGCAATTTACTCCAGTGCTTAACTATCTTGATGGTTCCTAAATTTTTCTTAATGTCCAACCTAAACTGCCCTTGCTGCAATTTAAGCATGTGCATGTTTGTAAAATCAGGGCTTAGATTATAAACCCTTTAGGGCAGGGATTGCCTTTTACAGTGTGTAACCTTTTAAAAAAACATTATTAGTGATATAGTTATGTTTTGTTTTATAACCTTATGATGATAATTAATGGTGTGACAATAAGGAGGCAGCTGTCACTCAGGCGCCTCCTTCTCCTCCCCCTGCTGGACAAGCGCGGGCACGGCGCGGCCTCCCCCTGCTCCCACCGAGCGCCGGGCCACTAGCGGGGAGGAGGAGGAGCAGAGCAGCAGCCGCAGCCGGAGTTGGCGGGGAGGGTTGGCGAGGAAGTGACCGGCCTCTCTCCCCCCCCCTCCCCTGCTGCCGGGCATGAGCCCCGGCTCCCTCTCCTGCCGGTGCGGTGCCAGCAGCCGCGGGGCTCGGGGAGAGGCGACCTTCCGAGGGGGCCGCTGGGGCGGGAGATGCGCTTGTTTCCAGCAGCGCCAGGAGCAGCATGTTCCCCGATGCCGACAGCACTAGCGGCAGCAGCAGCAGCGGCGGGCAGCCCGAGTCGGCGGGCGCCGCAGTCTCCGGCGCCCCGGGAGCGCGCAGCCCCGGCGGCCAGTCCTGCCGCAGCAGCGCCCCAGCGGCAGCCGCCGTCGCCGGCGGGGAGGAGGAGGCGGACGACGAGGAAGAGGAGGAGGATCCCGGCTCGTCCCGCCTGATGCTGGCGGCCGGGCTGGGGCTGCTGGCGGTGTCCCTGTTCCACCTGGGGCGGGCGGAGGCGGGGGACGGGGGGCAACCGTGCCTGGCCCTGCTGCTGCTGCGGTTGGCCCTCTACCTGGGCTGCGCGGCGGCCGCCTTCCTGCTGGGCACCTTGCTCGCCTTGAGCGGCCCGACCCGCGGCCACCTCCGGACCCCGCCGGACTTCCCCGCCGCCTGGAGCCGCGGGCCGAGGCGGGACGCTCCGCTCCTGCGGGCAGCCGCGGTAAGTGACACCCCGGGCTCTTCTCGCTGCTGGACAGACCCCCCCCCCTCCCTCCTGCCGATCCCGGCCGTGCCCCAGCTACATACCCTGGGCCCGGCAGCACAGAGGCCCCGGGCACATTTTGAACTGCGATTTCTTGCTCACTCCTGTGTTGGGTTAAATCCCCTCCAGCAGCACGGAGGGGCTGAGATTCCTGCCCTCTTCCCAGCGCAGAGAGACCCCCGGGGGAATTGTGTGTGCCCGAAACCACATCTGGGGTGGGGGGCGGCTTCTGTAGAGTTTGCTGGACGTTAATCTTACGCTTGGTCTCTGACAGATGTTGCGTTGTAAATGCTCTGCTTTGACAGCGGTGCTGCACTTAAGTGTTGTTGGCTACAGCTCGGTCAGGGGCTCCTGATCATACAAACTTGTCGCCGGTAAACGTTGTATGATGACAACGTTTTCCTGCAACAGTTGAAAACGATGTTTATTCAGGTCCGTTCAGCTCTGCTTAAGGGTATATTTAAATCGAGAGTGCCTTTAGGTGGCCATCCGGATTCCAGGAACAAATGTTCGTCTTCTTGCCATTCCTTTACTTTAAAAAAATATTAAGGTGGGGGGGGTTGTAGGCAAGATACAAAATATTCATGTTGCTTCAATGCAAATGCAGCTGTAGGGAGTGCCAAAGACTGTCCTTGAGTAAACTTTATCATAATACCTCCTTCAGCTCTTACACACCTGCAAGATGAACTTAGGAAAGACATTCAACTTCACATTCTGTTTACCCTTCCAGGTTAACACCCCCAAATATAACAGTTTTCCTGCTGAACTCCAAAGGCCAGTTGTGTAGAGGCAAACCCTGTGTTAACACATACATAGACTTGCAGACTTATTGAGAAATGTTAGTCAAAGCAACTTATTTTAAGCATTTCCTGCCCCAAATAAAAAATCACAGGACTGTGAAAACTATTGCTTGACACGAGGAATTGTTTTCACTCTAATGCTGCATACAGATATAAAGGATGTGTACCATCTGACATCCCAGGTAAGCTCAGTATAGCTGATAGGAGACACATGCTTGTGAACTGCATAGTTCCATGAAAATATAGTGTAGGTAAGTGAAATTCCACAATAATAAATAATGCACTTTGTTATAGTGCATTTCATTAATGGATCTCAAAGTGCTTTACAATGAAGGGTAAGTGTTGTTAGCCACATTTTGGTATAAAACCTAAGAGTTAATAGGATCCAGGTAGTCCTGTTTAATGCTTTAACTTTGGTGTTAACAGCAACTTGAAAGCGTTGTCATTTCTGAATTTCCAGGATGATGTCTGATTCAGCTTTTGACAGCATGGGCCTTTCTTTGAAACTGAGAGAGTAGAAAGCCTGTTATAATTCACTCACTAGTATAGTTTGCCATTCTTCCACCTCTCTCATCAAACATGCTAACAAAACTCTACAAAACTTTTGGGGGAGGACTTGTTTCTTTGACCTATTAGTCATTAAGGAGGGAGTAGCAGGAAGGAACTAGTTTTTGACCAGAAATAAATTACCAGGCCTACTCCTGAGGGCTGCTGTCTATTGTTGTACAATAGAAAAGGATTATTCAGCCAGATGTTGGATGCTGGTGACACTAGTTGGCAAAACTGGCATGAAGGCATGTTCAGGGTCCATCCCCAGCAGTGGGTAAAAGTGATATTATATCTGATTCAAAAATGGCTACGCGTTTTTTTACACTGACATGCCTTCACCTTGTTCAGGGGTTTTTAGGAAGCAAATAGTGTATCTGCGCCATATGTGTGCAGGGGATAGGGTGTGGGTTGCAAAACCATTGAGGAGACACCCATAGGTCATATGAGGAAGCAGCAGTCACCTTCCTAACCTATATTGAGAGGGGTGTCCTGTTAAATATTGTGGCTAATGGACTGACACAGTTCAGCTAGTTTTTTGGGGGGGGATGGGTGGGAACCTAGTGTTTATTAACACTATTAAGTGTATAAATATTCTTGGATATTAACGATAGTTAATATGGAATTGTGAAAACCCATCTGATGCTGAGAGAAAAAGATGTGCCAAGTCTTCGCTAACAGGCTTCAAACTCCATGGTCCATATCTTCAGGTGGAATAAATCAGCCTGAAATAAATGCAGCTGTGCTCATTTTCCCCCGTGTGACTACCTGCCCCCCACACGCTCACCTAGGTTTTAAATCTCTCACTGCCACAATAGGAAGAAACAAGTTAAGAGGGCATTGAAATATACATACAGTGGAAACTGCTTAATTAGAGAAGATTGAGATTTAAATCCAGAACCGAAGCTAATGTTTTCACTCTGAACAGCACAATAGCTTAATCCAGTGGGCAAGAACAAGAGCTGAAATATCTAGAGACAAATACAGTTGCTTCACTTTATATGCTATATACACATTCTTTTCCTGGTATATTACCTCCCAGTTCTCTCTGAAATTTTCTCCTCTCATTCCTGTCCACTGGTTTCATGTGTGGCGCTGTTGTCTCACCACACTTGTTTTGTATTGGCTCTCTACGGGTTTTATCCTGTGGTATTTTTAATTATTTCTGAAAATATTTTAAATCATTTTAAAAACCCCAAACTTCACAGTTTAGTAGCTGTGGCACAGTTACCTTGGTCCAGGGATAGCCCTTGCCCCAGGATCTGATGCCTGCCAAGATTCAATCAGTTATAATGTGCCAGATGTAGTCCAGTCAAGGTCCTTTCCCACGAGACATAACCTGGCTACCTGAAAGGAGTGGGAAGGAAATGCCAAAAAAAGGAGTGAGGGGATTTCCTCCTTTCCATTTGGAAGCCCCCATCCAAGGCATCTGACTTCTTAGGTCCTACGATTGCAGCTCTGTCTTGTTTTTTCTGACACAAAATTGCTTTAAGCACCAAGGCTCTTTATGTTGCAGATACATTTTCTTCAAAGAGGATTTTTTTATGGGTACAGGAATCATTCTGATCAGTGCTTGGATGCCATAGCAGTGGGGGCAGTATTAAAAATTTGATAGGTATTACATAAAAATATAGGCCACCCAATAGATTTTGTTGCCAAATCTCTCATTCATCTTTCTTTCTGTAATAATTCGTAAGATAAGATCACCTCTTCCTATCATGATTTCTATAATATTTACAAATCTTCTGGTCTTGCTTAACTGTTGCTTTCCTATCTGTCATGGATCCTTCTGATATAATTTTTCTATCCCTTTCAAGAGCCGGTAATGGGGTACCTGTGAAGCTAGAGTTTCCCAAACTTTGACACATCTTTCCTTTCTTCAAGCACAGAAAAGAATAATCTGGCTGTGTCTAATGCAAAACGGTTTTCTAAAGAGGGTTATGGATGGGGGCAGAAGGCCTTCATTGGAAAAAGAATCTATTTGGAGTGGGTGTTTCGATGTGAGCTCAAAGCAAGCGTGTTAATTGTTCTTTCTTTCAGGGTGACTTCCACTTTAGGCTCAGCAAATGAGGACTAAGTATTCAGTAATAAATATTTATTCTAACTGGAGTTGGACTGAGCTCTCAGAGAGTTGGTAGGAGTGTTTAATTGACTTCAATGGGAGCTGGGTCAGGCCCTTATCCTATACTTCAGTTAAACTCTCCATTAAAAAAATAGTTTTGCCAAAGGCCTTGATTCTGCATATATTTATGATGCTTGAGTAGTCCCATTGTTTTCAACAGGTCTATTAATCTGAGTAAAATAACTTACACGAGTAAGTGCTGAAGGATCAGGCCCTGAATAAGCAAAATTTGTGCTTTTCTACCCTTGTTTTGTTTGAACTGTCTCCCAGAGAAGCTATGTCCCACAATGCTAAATGTACTTTGCTTAACCTCGATGGGAGGTGAAAGGTGGGATTTTGTGTGTGTGTGTGTGTGTTTTAAAGCTTAGATTGTTCAGTGAATGCATTAGAAACCTATTGAGAATTACATGGAAAAATAACACATTACATTGAAAGACTTCAAAGAAAGTGTGTCATTTAGTTAATATTAGAATCTACAAACAGATGCAAAATTTAATGTAAATCAGACTTAATTTACTTTGTGTCTTTGGTTAATTTGTTTGTGTTTTGCTTTTGCTCCTTCACCAAAACCTGAAGACTTATTTTCCAGTAGTTTGAAGATCTGTGTCTGCACAGCAGGGCACTGTATCAAAATGATATTTTTATATGTGATGTATTGAGTGACCAGCTCTCTGTAGACAACACCCCTGATTCCACATCAAGTTAAGTTCTGTGAAGATAGTTGGTTTGTTTTTGTTTTTTCTTCTCCTGTCCTCTCTTTTTATTTTCATTAACTTCCATATGGATGAAGAAAACTTGCAGACCATTCATGGAAGTAGTACAATGAATAAAAGCAATGGTAAATATTTAGCTATAGAAGCTAATATTTATAGACATACAGTCCTTTCTCACAGATCATAACATGTATGGTTCTAGGCTGTATTTGGCTTTCAATCCTTTAACATAAATAGGAAATATTCCCAACACTTAGAAGGAATTGGTGCTAGACAAGATGCAATAGGACAACAAAGAAATGTAATGTCCTAATTGTACTGTCTTCTAATCAAAACTCTTAAAATTCCCTGGAGATATTTACGTACCAAACAGACACATGCCCTTTCACACAGAAGTTAGAGATGGAAAAGACCTATTAGAATATCCATCTTCCTGTAAATTTAGGATTGTACTGTTCAGTGCCTTGGGTTAATCAGATGTACTAATTTGTGTTAATAGTGTCTGAGATAATTTTGACTGATTTTAAAAAAGTCCCTTGAATGGATAACTAAAAGGGGAAAAAATAAACTTGTGTGTTCACAGGTTTCTCTTAATGTAGCTCCAAGGAACTGGGAGGCCACAGTAGTGTTCTTTTTCCTTTCTAAATTGTGTTTTGACTCTGAGTCACTTTAATGACTCTTAATTAGTGGGTTGAGTTGCCACACTCACTTTTAGAAATACCAAAACTAAGATGGATGAGATGCTTATTAGAGTCAATGACTATACATTTAGTTGAT